CCACATCTAGATCACCTCCAGACCAGATTGTTTCTGGACCTAAAATGCATCCCAATGTTTACCTGTGCTCTTCTTGGCCTCTTCACACCATTGCAGTCAGTTCCAGACCAGGCCAGACAAATACTGCTTGTCACATTTTGACTGGTCTGGAACGTGCACAAACACGTCAAAAACGCACCAGATCGCAATGCAATAGGAAAAAAAATATTGTTTTTTGGCTGGTTTGGATGATCTCATCACCCCTAGACTTCCTGCTTCTGTGGAGAGCTAGATGTGTGAGGATAGGAACCATAATGGCTGAAGTGGACACTGAATTATTTGTAGAACTTGTGGAAGCCTGCCCAGAGCTGTATGATCCGAGGCATGGGCAATATAAAAACAATAATAAGATGGACAAGTGGAGAGGCATTGCTGCCCAGGTTGTCCCTTGCTATGATCATTTGAGCAGCTCTGAAAAGAACAACTGTGGTAAGTTCATGCCTCTTATGTGCAAGCATTGTGCTGCTCTTTTCCTGGCTATCTGTAGGTCTTACAGAGGTCCCCCAGCAAGACCTAAAATTGAACGCGTCAAAACGCAACAGGGGTGATCTCATCACCCCTGGACTTCCTGCTTCTGTGGAGAGCTAGATGTGTGAGGATAGGAACCATAATGGCTGAAGTGGACACTGAATTATTTGTAGAACTTGTGGAAGCCTGCCCAGAGCTGTATGATCCGAGGCATGGGCAATATAAGAACAATAATAAGATGGACAAGTGGAGAGGCATTGCTGCCCAGGTTGTCCCTTGCTATGATCATTTGAGCAGCTCTGAAAAGAACAACTGTGGTAAGTTCATGCCTCTTATGTGCAAGCATTGTGCTGCTCTTTTCCTGGCTATCTGTAGGTCTTACAGAGGTCCCCCAGCAAGACCTAAAATTGAACGCGTCAAAACGCAACACGTTTTAGTGCGTTCCAGATCTGGTCCAGAAAATGGTGTGAATCTGCCCTCAAAGCAGGGATATAGTTCACACAGGTAACAATGTTCCATTAGCTTCAGAGCTGGTGGGCTAAGGCTAGGTTCACACCATTTTCCGGACCAGATCTGGAACATAGTGAATTGCGTTTTTGCACGTTTTTTAGCTTAAAATGGTCTTACAGGTGTGTTCCAGTGCGTTCCATGTGTTTTTGGTGCGTTCTAGTGCATTTCAGACCAGACAAAATAGGACAACCATTATTTTTCTGGTCTGGAACGAACTGCGCTGGTGGGAACTGAGGCCATAAATAGCATAGGGATACATTAGGATGCATCTTGGGTCCGGAAACAGTCTGGTCTGGAAGAAATCTGGATGCGGTGTGAATGGGCCCTAAAGTCGTCACCCTATTAGAAGGAAGGTCTCTTAAAGAGCAAAACTGGCAGGATCAATTAGTATTTAGTAAACATTTACTCACACCAATTTAAAAAAATATATACTTTTTACAACTACATTTACAAGGCAAATATGGAGCTATTTACACAACTTTAGTATTGGGGTTTACAAACACATTAGGAATACATTAAAATTTGACAACGTTAATACAAATTAACATGAATATTAAAAGGTATTCTACCTTTCTATTGTCCAACTTCCAGCTGTTGTCTTTTGGAGAAATGTATTGCATGTGATTAGATACAATGGGCAACGCAGACCCTTTTTTCTGTGAGAAACAAGTTAACTGTGGCCTTGTTTTTAAATTACTTTTAGCAAAGGTAGGAAAAAGTGGAGATACCTGCTCATATAGCATAAAAAGCATATTATCCATAATGAATAACAAGTGAATTAATCACTGGCTGATTCATCCATATTACACCAGGTGCTTGGTCACGGCTAATCTATGAAATATTCATAGGCAGGGATAAACAGGAGGAATAATAATTTATTGTGAAAACCACTTTACAAAACAATGGAGGCACCTAAGAAAATTGAATCTTATTTGCACATGTGCTCATTTTAATACCAGTGCTCATTTTAATACTAACTGGTATAACAGACTGAAAATTAACATTTAAAACAAGTGCAATTCAAATGTAGCATGAAATAGAAAAATAGTTTTGTGCCACAAGTCAAGTTGATGTTTAAATTGCAGATGTTGGAGTCAAATGTAATTTCTTAGACACATAACACATTATTCTCACCAAACTGTTTTTCTCTTCTTACTTTGAAAAGTGCTGACGTCACCTTTTGCTGATGTACATGCAGTTCAGTGGTCTTGCTAGTTGTGGCCAGCTGTGAATTAAGCTGCCCAGGCAGCTATATTCCAAGTACTAGTGCTGTTATGTAGGAGGAAGGGGAGCGCATCACATGATAACCATACTTCGAAGTACCAGGTTTTGATCCTTCCTCCCAGCAGATAAATGAAGCAACGGGGGATCAAAAGCAAGGGAGCTGTGACTTTACCCATGCAAAGAAAAGGACCAGTGTCTCTGCAAAGGGCCCGGGACCCCCTTATACTCAGCTTGCCTGCTCTCCCCCGGAAAACTCTGTCCTCTGTTGAAGCTGGTAACACTACCTGGCATTTTCAGGTGAGAGTGCTTAGAGTCTAGCACCCAATGCTGTCACATCACTGAAGGAGTGCCATCACCACTTTCCCGGTTCACCAACCACTCTGGTTTCAGCACTAGCTGCAACAGAGAAAGAGAATGACAAGGGAGCACAAGCAAGGTGTGTCAAGGAGGCCCCTTTGCCATGGCACTGTTACTTTGCTCTCCTTGGGCAAGGTGACATTGTCTCTTTACCTGCTAATTTGCCCAGCATTGGCAACACACAGATTCACTTTAAACACCCTTTACTATAGTTTTGTCTAATTAATTATTTTTAATATATTTTTACTTACTGCTGGCAAAAGTATCGTAATGTGTGTAATTATCTATCTGTAATCCCTGCATAGCAGCCTTCTTACAGGGAGAGGGAAGGGGACACATATATGATCAGGCTGCTGCTTCTTTATTGTTAAATGGGGCTTTGACGCACATTCACGAAACGTGCACGAATGTGGAACGCTCTTGTGGTGCCATTAAGAGTTAATGGCATCCTCATTATTAGTTAATAGCACATGCAGCTCTCTGCCGTGACAGGGGAGGGGCTGGATTCCCCCCTCCCTGCTCCGATAGCGCTGACTGGGGAGGGGGCGGGTACAGCTGGCTCTGCCTCTAGATAGACAGAGCCAGCTATCACTCACGTAGCTGGGCTGATCATAATCAGAACATAATTGTCGGGATCCGCTTCAGCTGCGGCGTCTCAGTATAAAGCGAGCAGTAGCTCGTGGTATACTGTGGTGTCTCAGTATACCGCGAGCTGTAGCTCGCGGTATACTGAGCCTAGGGTGACGGGAGGACGCTAGTTTGTGTCCTCCCATTACCCTAAGAAGAACTATGGGGAAAAGCCTTAACCCCATAGTTCTCCTTTAACTGAAGTTTGCCATGAATTTACATTTGGTTGATACAAAGTAATTTAAAATTGAAATGGAAACACATGAGTACCCGGTGTGATGTTTCTTTATTTTCTAACTGACAAACTGGGGATCCTGACCAAGCTGTATCGCTTAAATGCTTAGGAGAATGGTACAGCTCAAGGACCAGGCTTTGATGTCTGTCAGGGGAGTCTGGATCATAAGACTGGTGAACCGAATTTAAAGTTTTGGGAGTTTTTTGCCGGATAAAATAGTTTACATACAATATATGTATTTCAACTACGTATTTAGGTGCTTGACTAGAAGTATAACTTTAAATTATGGGCTGCACAGTGGTTTGCGGCTTAGGATGGCCATACAATGCTCTTCCAAAAATGTTATTCCATGCATGCATCTGTACACAACCACTTTGGTTGCATGTGGAATAAAATGTAATTCTTTCGGGAAGAGCATCATGTGCTGGTTTTGCAGTTTTTTAAGATATGTACTCTGAAAGAGATTTATGCAAGCACCGAATGTGGATGACAAGGATGCATTACAGGGGTAAGCTGTGCACTTTGTGTTTCTAGTTCCCCACACGCCAGAATATTGCATTCTGAAAGCAGCGGGTGTGGTGCTGTCAGAATACATGGACAGTAATTGCAGCTGATTGGCTGCAGTCACTGTTCAGACGAGATTTTTTGAACCAGCTCCTTTGACATAAGTCAATAGAAAAACCGACTTGTCAGACTGCAGGGTTGCCAACAGGGCCGCAAACTGCTTGAATTTCTGGGAGTCCTGCTTACTCAAGAAGTGTCAGCGAGTAACATTCGAGCAGTGTGTCGAGGAGTGCCCAGCTTTAGCACTCCTGTCTTGCAGCATTGGGTTCCTCAGTTCAAATCCCCACCAGGACACTACCTGAATGGTGTTTGCATGTTTTCTCTGTACTTGTGTGGGTTTCCTCCAGGTACTCCGGTTTCCTCCCACACTTCAAAGACATGCTGGAAGGTGAATTGGCTTCTGTCTAAACTGACCCTAGTTTGTATGTGTATGCATGTGAGATAGAGACTTACGTTCCTTGAGGGCAGGGACTGTGGATGTACTATATGTAAAGCACTGTGTAAATTGTTGCTACTATACAAATACCTGTAATAAATAGTAAGCTTATGAGGCAAAATATTTACAGCAAAACCTGCAGCTAATATGCAAGGTCACTTTTTAAATGCCCTCCGCCTTGTTGAAACACAGCATAACAGTTTTATAAAATTCTTGTATGTTACATAGTTACCTTTCCCCTTCCTTTTGCCTGCAGCACCTAGGCAAGGGTAATGTCATTCTCCTTTTGGCGAGATCTGGGGAATGTAGAGTACCTCAAATCCTACGGAGAAGATACTCCAGATACTGTGCTGCAGCGTCTTCTTGCAAGATTTGAAGTACTCCCCTTTCCCTTTGGATTTTGTCTGCAGGAGGACGACATCATCCCTGCAATATGGAAAATGAAGAAAGGGTAGATATAATATCTAAAGGTTTTCCAGCTACAGTTTTGTTTTCTGGCATTGCTGAAATGAACATTGGCATTCTCCCACTAAAACTAACCTTCAGCTCAAATACTGGTGTGTCAATACTTTCAGCTCCGTGGCGTTTAAAACAATTCACCACTAGGTTGAATACCTTCTCACGAACAGCCATTTGTTTTGGGTGAACATCATGTGTTCCCTGCAGAAATAACACAAACAGGAAGACATTAATCTTTGCTAAGTATATTTACACTCACGTTAAAAGGTGCTGCAAGTGAAACATTTACTTTTGGAGTCTTGAGTATAAGTTGTTGCTTTTTTTCTCCATTAACTGTCTGTGCACTTGCATCTTGATGTGCAAACACCCTTCTGGTGGCCTGCAAATGGAAACAGAGGGTAATCTACTGTATATAATAAAATACATTAGAAAGTTGATGATAAATGGACCGCTATGGAACCAGCCCCTATTATTGAAGCAATTTCAGATCATAGTATATATCCTTTATCTCTTCTGACCCCAGAAGGTGGTTCCACACGGCGACAGTGGTATGCGTACTTTCTGCTTAAACACTACATTACTGCTCTTTCGAGATTTAAACCTCTTAGGCGATATATGACCCCCTTTGAGGACTTTGTATGAACCAAAAGAAAAGCAAATATAAACTATCAAAGATATTTCACATTCTCTTAACTCAAGCCTTTTCTGATAGACCATGCTACGTGAGGGGGTGGGAAACGGAATTCGGCTATAGATTATCTCAAGATGATTGTAAACAATCTTTTGTGTTAACATTTCAATCGAGTATTTCAAGCTACATTCAGGAACGGAACTGTAAGATATTGACAAGATAGTATAGATTAGGGCTGCAACAACTAATCGACATAATCGATTATAATCGATTATTGAAAAAGTTGTCAACTTTTTCAATAATCGATTAATCGGCTTCTGATCAGTTGGCCCTGTTCACGGCTCCACACACGCTGCGCACCGCACCTCCTCCCCAACTCACGCTCAACGCTGCCAGACCCGCATCCACGCTCTACACGCCGCACCTCCTTCCCGCCTCACACTCACCGCCCGCCCACATTCTCCATCGGCACAGGGACGCGGGGAGATGTAGTAAGGAGGAGCAGGTGTGGGGGGAGGACAGCGGCAGATTGACAGGCCCAATCTCAGAAGCAAGTTGCTGGAAGACTGCTCAGGTAAGCCTGCACTTTCCCACACGTGGTGCTCTATAATGTATTGCTGGGATTTGTATTCCTCTATAGCTGATGGTACATTGTGCTGTATATTATACATAGGAATACAAATCCCAGCAATACATTATATACTGTATGTATAATGTACTATTGCTGGGATTTGTTGTACTCTATAGTTGGTAATATTCTGCACTGCGCTGTATAGAGGACTACAAATCCCAGCAATAATACATTATACAGCGCCATGTGGAATTCCACCAGCTATAGAGGAGCACTACAAATCCCAGCAATAATACATTATACAGTGGTGCACTGCCGAATACCACTGGCTATAGAGGACTACAAAACCCAGCAACAGTACATTATACAGCGCAATGCAGAATACCACCAGCTATAATGTACTATTGCTGGGATTTGTTGTGCTCCTCTATAGCTGGTGATATTCTGCATTGCGCTGTATATTGTACTATTGCTGGGATTAGTAGTCCTCTATAGCTGGTGCAATTCTGCATTGATTGCTGTATAATTTTACACTTTCCATTTCACTATATTGCACACCACACTTTTTTTCTTTTTTACTTCCACCACTCCAAGCTTGCTCCTGTCAATACAAACTAGTAGTCCATCACTGGAGCCATTTTTAAAAATGTATTTGATTGTTTATCCGATTAACCGATTAATCGAACTTAATAATCGGCTAACTAATCGATTTTGAAAATAATCGTTAGCTGCAGCTCTAGTATAGATACCCCACTTTAATACATAAGATCTTCCCAAACATATCTGATCGATGTTGGAGATGTGGAGTAAAGAGAGGTACTATGCTACATATATGGTGGTCCTGTCAAGAGATTCAATCTTTCTGGGAAACGGTCTATTAAATAGGAGCACATTTTATCAAGGTGCAGGGACACTTACACTTGAGGTTGCGCTATTGACTATTATACCAGGACCAATTAAAGAAGTCAAGAAAGTCTCATTATGATTTTTTCTATTTGCTGCAAGAACTGTAATAGCTCAAAATTGGAGGTCTCAAAATACCCCGCAAATTAAAGATTGGATTAAAGAAATAGTTTTTTTAAGAAGGGTGGAAGAGTTAGTAGCAGGATCCCAGGATAGGTACTCACAATTTATGGTGACATGGAAACCATGCATAGAGTCTGACATCACTATCATGTGCTTACCAGGAGTGTGAGGTTCATTTGCATGGCCATTGGAGGAGGGGAGAGGAGTAAGGCCTGGTTCACACCTGTGCGTATTGCATAAGCGCGTCACACGCGCGTTTTCGTCCCGGAGTTTGGTGCGTTTTTATGTGCGTTTTTTTACATTAGAAACGCGCGTTGCACGCGCGTTTTTAATGTACCTTTGGATTCTTTAACTTGCTTTGGGAAGGTTTCCCAGTCCGGCCACGAAGCTTCGGCTATCTCCACCCAGGCACGTTGCCTTATGCGCCTGTTTTTGCAATGCGCATGGCACATGTCATAAATACATGGCCTTCCCTCCACCTGTCTTATGAAGGCCTCAGATTCAAGCATGGCATCCTCCATCTTCTTCTTCAACAACAGCTCTGTGGGGGAGTGGTCTTCTGTGGACATGTGTGGAACGCGCGTTCTATGCGCGATTTCAGTGATTTCGTCCGTTCCTGTCGAAGTCTATGGGCACTAACGCGCTACAAAACGGACCAATACGCAGCAAAAACGCTTCGGGACCTTTTCAAGCGTGGCCCGTTTTGTAGTGCGTTCGGGACGGACGGAAATACGGACAGGTGGGAACTATACCATTCACTTCAATGATTTTTACATTTTGGTCCGTTTTGTAGTGCGTTCATCGAGCATAGGACGCACTACAAAACGGTCAGGTGTGAACCAGCACTAAGGGAAGGAGAAGATGAGACCGTGAAATTTCCTTCTTTTTATTCTTTCCAATTTGTTTTGTTTGGCTTTGTTTTGTTTTATTTTATTTTTGTGTGGCTTAGGGTTGGGAGGGATTTCGGGTGGTTGCTTCTCTTGCTTTTTTATTAGTTTATAAGTTATGAATATTTCTTACTTCTTTTTTGATTGTTTTTCCTCCTGGGAGAGTCTCTTAACAGGATGTTTACATGTTTATATTGTTATATGTAGGAAATAGTAAGTAAATATAATACAAAGAAAGTTGATGATAACGTAGGTAGACTACAGAACACATGTATCAAAACCAGATACATAAAAAACATGACTGTAGCTTTAGCAATGAACACTTGCATAAGAGCAATCTTTGCTACTGGGAATGTTTTTTATTATTGTGCAACAGTTTCATAAATGTCCCCATTTAAAGCACTAGTCATGATTATAGGGACATTTCAATTCAGTTTCATTTAAATAAAAACTCTACTTTCACTAAAAAAAGAAAGAAAAATATTTAATTACAATATACTTGTAATGCAAGCAAACTAATAAAAAAAAAAATATTACACTGACCTCTGTGGTGGCCCACGCCTCCTACCTTCACTCCATTTCAGCACCGCAGTCTCCGCCAAACTCTTTAGCATTCAACACTTCCTGGAGTGTCAGATGCCTGTGCCCCCACCAAATGATGTGTCACTGCTGCGTCATGTGGTGACATAGGTGTAGGAGTTTGGAACCCTTAAATCACTAGAGGACACAGCAGTGACATAGGGAGTCTGAGAATGGAGCTACAGAGAACAGCAGGGGAAAAGCGAGCACATCCATTCAACACTCCCAGAAGTTGCAAATGCTTATGATTTAAGGAGACTGGTAGTAGCTACAGAGGTGGAATGGAGAAAAGATAGGAGAATGGGTTGCCAGAAGGGCGAGTATAATACTTATTTTATTGCAGAGATTCAGCTGGATTTTTTCAAAGGCCTCACAGTGTTGCTTCATAATGCCATGCAATATAAGTTGGTGCACCGACGGTCTGTGTCTCCTAGCTTTATTCTATTGCTACAGCCTCCACCTGACTTTTGCTGTGCAAGAAAAAAATAAAAGAATGGAGCCTTCTCCGAGCGGAATACTGTTTATTTATCCAAATAAAAACCGAATAAAATAATACTCACAAATGGTATCTGTTATATAGAATTTCAGAATGAACCAACCAAACTGCTAACCAGAAACCAGCAATGGACTGAATAGTCAGACAACCATAATGTGGGCCAGAACCTTAACCTTGCTGATGCGTTTTCAGGGATATACCCTCTTCATCAGAGCAAGTTGCAAGTAAGGACTTCTATGATTTGACACTTCAGGAGGCGTTAAATGCCTGTGTCTCCAGCCATGTGCTGTGGCTCTATCCTCTGACCCCCTACATAATTGCTGTCTGGAGTGGTGTACAGTTCAGACCCTATGTCACTGCTGTGTCCTGTAAACTGGCCCCTGCACTGAGAAAGCCCTGTTGATATGGGGCTTTTTATACTCCCACTGACCTCCAATGCCGAGGCATTTTTTTTGTTATTCCTCTGTGCCATAGTCCAGTCCCCAAACTAACAAAAAGTGACCAGGCCCCTTGTTTAAAAAAGTACAGGAAATGGAGGGAAAAAAAATGAAATACCATCCATAATATAAAATAAACAAATGGAGTGTTACAAACAAAGTTTACTTACGACTAAAACGGCATGCACATTTTTTTGCAATCGCATCGCGGGCGATCGCACTGCAGGCGAGAGACGCGTTTGGGGTGCCACGGAAATGAATGGCACGGCAATGCACCTCCCGCACCAGTATTTGTCAGGCAAAATTACTTTTTCCCACTTTTTTTAGAATACAATAATTTAATAATATAAACAGACCCCTGATATTTTCCTTTTGAAATAAAAACAGAGAGTCCTCAATCTCTGTTTTTTGCAGCCCCAGCACTCAATGAACAGGAGGCACTCAAGTACAGAGGCTTCCTGTTCATTCATAAATATAGGAGTATAGTAAACAGATCTTGCGCCACAATCATGAATAAACAGGAAGTAATGTAGAGCACTTCCTGTTCATTCATAATTTAGGACACAGCATCTGCATACTATGTTCTCAGTTATTTACAAACATCATAGTGATCACTGCGATGTTTGACTATTACAGGGAATGATCAGCAAATATTTCACATATTTGCTGATCGTCCCGCAGCTCTCCTCCCCACACCAACCCGCTCGGCCTCCTGACAGCTTTCTTCTCCCCACTGGGTGCTGCAGGTG